TTTGAAACAAAGGACGGTGACATCGTCAAAATTAGTTGATTTATCAAAAAACTTAGTGGGCCAGTTTTACTTATTACAGATTTTATGTTTTTTGCTTACAGTATCTTAATAATATTTTCAAATGTGCAGAATAATGATTAAATAATTAAGGTACGGAAGAAACGTTAAAAACAAAATTACTCTTAGTCCGGTCCTTCGCGTCTCGGCCGTCCCTGGAACGTGGCATGGTTTACATTTACTAAGCTTTATGAAGGGTCGGCTGTAAAGTACTTTAAACGTCAAAGCCATAAACGCCTTATAGGTTTGAGGAAACTATATCACTTTTTTTTACGTTAAACATAGTTATCTGTTTTGTTGTATCATCCATATTAAAACTGGATATTTCAGAAGAATTGATGCAAAATGTATTAAACCGACGAAATGACTGATTGACTGACATGATTTTGATATGGTAAGTGCAGAAAAATACGGCTTCAATTTCGCGTTTAAACATTATCCGTATAGGGCGAGCTCTTGTTTTGAATTTGTTTTGGTTGTAACCTAAAAATTGACATTTATTTCCAAATTCTCACAACAAACAGCTAATTATGTTATAATTATCAAAGACTGCTATACAATAGTAGTGTTGGTTACATTTTGAATTTTTTTAGGCATGGAGCTTTTCTCTCGTGAATACTGTGAATAATCCTGTGCATGTAAATTAAAAAATTCGACTCTGCGAATTTAGTGTTAGTGTTTAGTCATAATGTTCTCGTAAATTGAACATTATAATGAATTAAATATAAATTTGTTTGGGAAAAGTAAACCAATTAATACATTTTTTTTTTTGCAATAAAAAAAGGTAATAAACTAATAAAAAATGGCAATGACTTGTAAAGACAACGTTTTTGTTTAAAAATTTTTATTAATACGGCAATGAAATTTTAAAGACGAAGCGGGCACGATTTTTCTGTTTTCAGTGCGTTACTCGAGCATTTAAAACGGACAAATTTTGCGCCATTTGAAAGCTCCATTATGACGTCGACAATGTGGCATTCCAATGTGGCACCTTTATCTACTAAATGACTTTGAGTTTATTATAGTACCAGTTGTGGCTTTGTCTAAGTCTACGTATTTTAAACCATAATCGAGATAAACGCACGATCGTGTGGCCGAACGTTACAGTTGTTCTCTCATTGTCATTGTTCATGTGAATGTTTATCTACAATACTGGATTTTGCTTAGTCTCCTTTGCGAGGACTGGGGCATAGCCTCATCGGTGCGGTGGGTTTCTTCTTGTTAGAAGCGCTTAGTATGTTGTAGCTATTGTTAGTGGAAACAGACATTCACGAGAAAGCGCCCCGTACCCGCTGCCGCTACTCGTTTGCATAGTTTACAATCATTTTAACTTCAGTCCCTTTCTGGGTCGACTACCAAACTTTAAATTTGCCACAATACCGTCGTAATAAATTGACACTAGGACCATTATTTTGAATAGAATTTTTCTTTCTTTGGGTGTAAGTTCATAATATTCAAAGATTTGGATATCAGTTTTTAACATTTGATTATTGAAAGTTGAGAAGGCTGTCGCCAGGAAGGAGGAATAAACGATGTGTCCTCCATATTTTGCATTTTGAGATAAGGTCACTTTTTCACGAGTACCTAGTGTTTTCCACTTAGCATTTGAACGCATTCCGTCGTTTTCAAAGCACAACGTAAGTTTCTATTTTGTTGACGATTACAACTCAAGGCCAAACTTTAAATTTTTGAAAGTTTATAATTTTGTGCAGATGGCTCATTTCGACTGGATGTTTGGGGTATTACAGTACATTATTCCAAAACGAAAATGATACGTTACTGGTCAAAACTCAAATGGCAGACTGTGGTGACCCACATTTTTCTTATAGTATTTCGACTCTTCATTGATTATAGGTACTTAAAGTCTTAAAAAATATATAATCGGTAATAAGCAAGCCTCAAATTAACGTAGACTTTTTTATATTTTTGTATGTCATGGTGAACATCAGGTGCGCAGAGTTGATATTCAAACGACGGAAAAACTAATATGACGATATCAGCCCCGTAGCTAGAAAACTTATTCAGGGGGGGCAAGTTTGTCGACAGAGGGGGCTTCATGTAAATATATATATTTCAATAATGTACTCAGATAACTGCTTTATTTTTTCATTAAAATAATCGTAAACGTCGTTTTTTCCGCAATTAAATTTTCGTAAAAACCTGTCCAAGTCCAAAGAATTGGTACGGTACTTTTCAAAAGCCAGAAAAACCAAGTTTGCCAATCTTTGATGCGTCATTGCGATCGATTCAGAGAATGTAGATTTACAAACAGTTGTACTGCATCTAAAAATTCGTATATATTGCCAAATAACATACCCTGTAAGAAAATAAAGGGTGGCCAGGTGGGGCTACTAAATATGCTTTAGCAATCAGCATTATATTGAAATTTTATTACTAATTTGAAATTTATAATGTCTAAGTATTCCAGGGGGGGGGGGGCAACCACAACTGCTAGGGGGGGCTCAGCTCCATCTTGCCCCCCCGTAGCTACGGGGCTGGACGATATGAATGATATCATGAAATAATGTGATTTTGATATATGATGTTTCATGTTTCTGTATAGAAAGACACCCTAACGAGCTCTTATTTTGAATTTGTTGGTTTTTGCTTTTAATGAACGGTTGACGTACATTTACAAATTATCAAAACCAAACAGTTAACTATGTTTTAGTTTAAAAAAATAGCGACAGTAAAGTATTCTACACTTGGTCGGAGTACACCAAATATTACTGAAGATGCGTACTGTGTTTTAACGTTTTATTTTAATAATATAACAACGGAGGTAAGGTATGAACAATAACGATACTGCAATCAACTGCTTCACTGGACCGCACGAATCAGGCGCGGATCCAGGGGGGGGGGGCAATGGGTGCAATTATCCCCCCCCCCTCCTGACACACGACCGAGGTACTTTATTTTGACCAATTTCAAAATTTTGAAATCGTATTTCATTTTGTAAATACAGTACCTACATCCTCTATAATCCGAATTCACGATTATCCGAATATCCAGTAGTCCGAACAGAGGCTATTTGAAGTCGATGCTTCTTTAATCCGAACAAAAACTCTGCAATCCGAACTGAACTTGGAAACACGCACCTACTTGCAAAAATGACGCAAGATCTTTCTACATATGTTGTATGGAATATTTTGAAATTTTTAAAAATTGCTATATTTCAATACACTGAATTAATTAACTAATTCTGGAAAAAAGGTTGAAGTTATCGAAGAAATGAGGCCCGAAATCTACAAGAAAAGGTATTTAGGTAGTTAAATTTCGAAAATCGTCGAAAATGGGTCGAAATTTGCATGAGGAACATTTCATTTTTGAAAAAGTTTCCTAAAAATTCTGAAAAAATTCAGGGATATATGTATATCCCGACGTGCTGATTCCAAAAATATAGCATGTTAATGGTAACCAAGCAATGTTTTCGAAAATTCGGTGTGAAATTCGAATTTTTCGAAATTTTTAAAAATTGCCATGAGTTTTTCAACTGGACGAATCTGGAAAAATTGTTTAAGTTATCGAAGAAATGAAGCCAGAAGTGACTTCTGAGGCCCAAAATTTACAAGAAAATGTATTTAGTTAAATTTCGAAAATCGTCGAGAATACAAAATGGAAAATTTCATTTTTGAAAAATTCGTCTAAAAATTCTGAAAAAAGTCAGGGTATAGATTCCGGCGTGTTGATTCCAAAACGATAGCGTGTTTATGGTCACGGAGTAATATTTTTTTAGAATGTATCTATTATCCATTGTTGCTTAAGAATTCTTTAATTTTGATTAATAAAATTAAGGTTTATTTCTTGAAGTTTGTTTTCAACTGTGTATGAAGTTGTATTCAATTTCCTTTCAGATTTTTGGGAAAATCGCTGATCCGAACAAATCGTTGATCCGAACACACCTTTTTCCCAATTAATTCGGATTATCGAGGTTCTACTGTACACTATACGTGTAACGAAAACAACCAAATGTCACCCATGTTATGTGAAAAAGAGTACACTAGTTAAAAATTTATAAATTTTTTGTTTAGAACGAATTTCTGGGAGATAGGTAAAATCTCACAAAAATTGCCCCCCCCCCCCTCCCCCCAAACGAAATCCTGTATCCGTGCCTGGCACGAATCGTAAAGGGACCGAGGCCGTCTTCTTTTCCACCATCTCTTGTTCCCTCGGTTGTCTTTGTTTTCCTGTACGGAGACACATCGACTAGTTGGCTACTGGCTTAGCGGCTATGTCATGGTGGTTGCATAACCATTAGGAATAATGCTATATCATAACATTTTATAACAACAACAATAATACTGTCCAACAGGTAGAAGCCTTTAAAAAAAAAATCACCAATCAGATATCAAACAGGCAGAAATTACCAATACTACAAAAACAGAAATATTTCTTTTGTGAAAGTTAAGAAATCATTTAAAGACTAAAATCTGAAACAATCGACTTCTTTTTCTTGCTCTCGTTCTCTTTAATCTTCTTGTTCTGGTTCTCGATATAAACATCATTTTCCAACAGTTCCTATTTTAAATATAGTGCTAAATTTAAAAAATTGACCTTGTGTCCCATAAAGGTGGACTGTTCTGTGGTGGTAATGTCCCATATATAGACATTTTACGGTATATAGAAATTTAATCGGTAGTTACTTGTGGCGCTTGACGTTTGCGCCGTAGGGTTTCTTCGCAGGAAGGGAAGCACCATCATTTTACACCAAATGATTTTATAAAAAAATATTGTGCAATTTGAAAATTTTGTATTTCGCGATTACCGAATCATTTACATGTAGAGTATACGAAATTAACTCGACCAATATCCCAACGCCGAAGTGAATAAAAATTAACTCTCACGAGAATTTCCTGTGGCTGGTAAATTTGTGACTTTGATATGGCATACAATGACGATTGATTTTCCAATCACAATGGTAGATATTAATAAAAAAACAGTACTCATGTTATGTTTCATTTAATTTATACATTCATATACATCAAAATTACAAAAGCGGATTTAAATAGATCAATTCATGAACCACCTACAAAAAAATTTCAAAAACTTCGTAATATGCTATCCTCGATTAAATTTTGTTCTTTCACGTTTTGAAATATTTAAAATTCTGCGTAAATGTAGAAGTATAATAAGCAACAACGATTTATTTTATCAATTTTTGGGCTCTACTTGTAAGACATATTTCTAATGTGTAAAATTTTGTAGCACTTACTAGTGTTGTTTTTGATTAACTGGATAAATTTAACGAAGAGCTTTCCTATTCAATAAATCAGCACAAAAATTTACAAAACTCTGCGTATAATAGGTATGTATACATATGTACAGTTACTAAACTTCCGGTTTCCGGTACAAAAGTTTAATTTTTAAAAGAGTAATTGTATTTTATAACTTACTTAAAAATAATTTCTAAATATTTTTTTTTTGTTTTACACTTTTAAACCACCGATAAGTGTACTGAAAGTTATACCCAGTTGCATTTTGGTATTTTACGGACTTTTATATCCTTTTCCATACTGACCTCATTTGAAAAACTGCAAATACAGCTACGCTAACAAGTAAATTTGCTGGAGTCAGGGAAGGCGAATCTGACGGTTCAGGAGCTGAAAAAATCAACAACAATGTTACTAAATTTGTATACATATACGTTTTAACATTCTTAGTGCAGTGAATTTGATTAATATTAAAAATAAACTTAGTACACACATCAAATTAAGATCTAGCTTCCAAGCGTTTATCATGGAAAACGAATTTTACTTTGCAAATTATAGAAAGAAAAACGTGCTCGAATGCTACTTCAACAGAACTTCGCGCTTGAGGTATAATCCAACAAATCTTTAAAAAAATTATAAAATTTGATTTTACGATTTTCGTTTTGCGATAACCTCTCTAAAGTAAAAACCAGCGACATAAATAACATCCCCAAAGCCCCTGCAACGTACGGACAATGTAAAAAATATTTAAAGTACTGTTACGTTGATCGGTAATTAAAAATCGGCGTGGGTAAGCCTCAACAATTTATTTCTCAGTAACACCAATTTACATGACAGCGATTATGTACAAAATAATTCCGGCGCAACTTAACTGGATTCTCTCATTGACTGAATGAATCGTTCCCAAAGGTGGCCTCTATTTAAACCCATACTTCCCTTGATATTTCGCGATCAAAGTTTTTCTGGAGTATCCATCGCGACTTCCGCTTTCGAGTTTTTTTAGCGAGCGTCTCTTGTCCGCTGCCACCGACGATGAGTCACTCATCATTGTCGTACTATTACAGCCAAAAAAATGGAAACACCATTTTTTTTATTTTGTGAAAATGTCTTTCCGATGTTATAAAATCATAGGCGCAACAATTTTGTTCAAAAAAATTGTACTGTCAGTGTCAGTTCGTGAAAATTTTGAAAAATGCGCAGACACTTGAATACCAGAGAAAAAACTCGAATCATTGCGAAATTAGAAGAAGGGTGGTCATTGCGACGGATCGCACCTGACATAGGTGTATTTCTGAAATTAAAAAAAAATGGAACTAACATAATACGGTCGAACGTCGTGTAGGATCTGGACAGCCAAAGATAACCGCTGGTTAATTACTGGTTGATTATATGGAACAATCACCATTTTCATCTTTGGTCGAAGGGCGTCTAGAAGTGAACTTCCCAGGTTCAATTAGAACTGCTCGTCGACGAGGTTGTTCAATAGAGCAGCAGCAAGAAAACCAATTTTAACTGAAGAACAATCATAAGGAAAGAGAATCGGATTCGCTCTTCAATACTTAGACAGAGACGACGATTTTTGGAATAGAATTGTTTTCTGAGACGAGAAGACTTTCCAGTCTTGCAATAATGGAAGGGTCAGGGTGTATCGGCCAAGAAATCAACGTTTTGAACAAAAATATATTTGTAATTTAAGTAACACGGGACGATTTTCGGTAAACTGGGGGCGTGGACAAGCGCACCAGGAAAAGGGGCCTGTGTCAATATAGAAAATCGTCTAACTGGTGATGTTTAACCGAAATATATTAAATGATATTACCTATGTTGCCAACCACTAGAGAAAGATTTCCTGGAAATAACTTCATTTTTCAACAAGACAATTGTCCTATTCATAGAGCCAGAATTGTTAAAGAATGAATCGAAAACAACGAAATAGATGTCTTAGACTGGCCTGCAAGAAGTCCCAACTTAAACACTGTCGAAAACTTTTGGTCTTTACAAAAAATGAATTATGGAATTAATAGTACAAGCTTGGCACGATGTTGATGAGAACTATGTAAGGACCACGGTCTTGTCTATGAATAGAAGATTACATGCTGTAATAAGGAAAAATGAAGCAGCAGCAAAATATTAAATTTATTAATGGTGCTAAATAGAATTTAATTTGTTAAATTTATTTTGTATCCGCTTTAAAATGAACGCCTCTGATTTTCTAACGCCTTTTAACGTCAACGTGACAGAGAAATTGCACTTAAATAGAAAAAATCGATGACATGAGCAATTCAGGTGTTTCCATTTTCTTGGCCGTGATAGTACATACTAGAAAGCCCGGGGCGGCGTCTGGGTTTATTTCCTAACACTGCCCCCTCCTTAGTTCTGATCGTCCCGATCAGAAACGTCAACGGTGTCACTGTTGTACTTTATGAATGAAGAATCTTCATTTTCGTTTTTTCATTAACCAAATTTTGCTTAGCATTCGACCATCTACATGATATTTCTAATATACATACAAAATTTGGCAACAATCGGCCCAGCAGTTCCGGAGATTACGTGGCTAATAAAAATGGATACAGACACCAGACAGACAGACAGACTCTCAGTCTCGAACTTCATCATTTTTTCTATAGTTAGCGATCGCTTGATCTTTTATGGAATGTTTACTACAAACTTTATACTTACATTCTACTTCAATATTTATGAAGCTAAAAGCTGGTTCTCTAATTTTATTGTCCGCTACACACTTGTATGTACCACCATCATGATGTTTAACATTTGGAATTTCTAAAACGTCACCTTGTATATCAAATTTCGAAGGGCCTTTATGCCATGAAATAACTGGCTTCGGAGAACCACTTGCTTTACAAATTAGTATCAATGTGTCCCCATTTTTTAACTGTAATATGAAAAATTATTCTTTCACAAAACAATTTAAAATTAAATATGTATATACGTACAATTGTAACATTGTCCTTAGCTGCTAGAAGCTCAATTTGGGGAGGTACGTTCAATATAACTTTGTGTCGAATTTTTGGACTATTTTGCTTCGTATCCATTGCTTTACATTCGTATTCGCCCGTGTCTTGTGCATGTAAATTTGAAATTTCAAGTGATCCATTTGTTAACAGTTTCATATTTGGTGTAGCAGTCATTCTAAGTCCCCCTTGAAAAAGAATCTCCTTGCTTTCGGGATTATTCTTCGTCCAGAACTGCACATAATCTGAAAATATTTAATGGGTTAATTAGTACATACTTTGAAGATTTTCTCGTTCTTAAAATATCAAAACTCCATAAAATAGATAACAATTTTTTTGCCGTCTACTGCACGTTTGAGGACAATAGAAACTGATCAAGTGGATAAATATGTAGTTCTTTAGATTTATACAAGGACATAAAATGGCGAAGTTTACAAACTTTAATGAGTTGAGAGAACAGAATCGCTTGTTTTTTTCGAAGTAACTTGTTATAACGAAAAAAAAATTATGCCAGTAATTTAGCTTAAATTCATATAGCTGTGAGAATTTATCATCCATAAGCGAGATACGTATCAAAACATTATGGCATCAGTGCTGATAATAAAATCTCAGCACCTCTTTATCTAACGCGAGGAATCTATAAATTGCCGGTCATATTTGAATTTTTAATATTTTTAATTAATGTATCATTAGATGATGTTTTTACTTATTTATTAGAGCATACATGACTGAGAACTTAATGTGACAACTTCCTAAGATCCCAAAAGAAATTGGAAAAGCAGTGAACGGTGTCAGATTAATTATTTTGTAGAAGATAAGGCAAAAGTTATTACACAGAAAAAGAGTGACAAATGTTTAATTGAGACTTCAACAAGGGAATCATAAACTAAACAATAATTAATAATATTGTAATAAATATTGCATAATCTAATAAATAAAATAAATATTTCCACATGACGCGAATTTTCTGAACCGTTGAAGCCTGCGGTAGAGAGGAACTGATAGATACTGGTTAGCAATTTAGATTCTATTATGTTACAGTTTTCCAGAGCACTGTATATCAAATCTTGAATTGAATATAAAAAAAAGCCTGAAGGTTGTTTCGATTTCGACAGAACTTCCCCCGTACCTGGAATAAGGTACAATGAAACATACTTATCCATTATTTTCGAAAAATTAAAAAATTTGATGTTCCGATTTTTATTTATTTATGAGAACCCCCATAAATTGAAATGCACATATGCATGTGTAATGTTAAAGTGAATGTAAAGAAGCGTGCTACGCGTTTGTTTCAAATAAGTATTTACTCTACAAAATTTTGTGATGAGGTTATTAACATATTTGCAAGAAAGCTTATATCAACTTGGATTGGTGTAGTGTAATACTAGTAATAACAGTATTGTATTCCCAAAATTTTCTGGGAAAATAGAGTGAGTCGTTCTTGATTTAATCAATAGAATAAATTGACTGACTAATTCGTTAATTTTTTTTTTGAGCCACCCTGTGTAAGCAGATTTAAAAAATATAAATGGAAGGCTTGCGGTTGAGAGCTTTATCAACGGTAGGTCGAAGTTTAGAAGATTCTACGAGTATCCAGGTGCCAGACATCATCTGATGCCCTAATTCGTGGGCTGGAAGTGGAGACTGCAATAACGTACCCAAAAGTCAGAATGGCAGAATTAGAGAGGGAAGAAATGGACAAGGTGCAAAAGCTGTTGGAAAAATTCTCACAGCGAATAGTAGATGGCCTAGTTGAAGGTCGAGAGAATGGTGCGCCTCCTAAGAAAAGTATGGAATGTTCTAAGCCAGGGACGTATGAAACGTGATTACCGTGCTCGATTGCCAGATCCGACGAGAACCACACAAGAGAGATCTCATCGAAATGTACAAGTAAACTAAAAACAGTCAGTACTTCGCAGAGGGCCCATTTTTTACGCAAGTATATAGAAAATTTAGAATCCGAATTCAAGAGAAATGTGATCTTAGATGAAAGATAAATGCCATAAAATCTTGGCAGTATAGTAGCAGTAAGAACGTTGTAAGGCCACAAGGTCATGATGGCAAGTGCTACACTACATTGCATGCAGGATGTAACTTTAATGGACTATCACGGAGAAATGAATGCTGAGATGGTCACTAAATGGTGTGATGAGAAGTTGATACCAAATTTAAAAGAACCTTCACCGATTATCATACCATGAAGCGTTATCCATTACCGCTGAAAAACAACCTTGTACATCCTAGCGAAAATCTGATATTCAGCAATGGCTAGTTAAGAACAGTGTAAGATATTAACCGTTTATGCATAAGAATGAACTATTATACTTAGCCAAACAACATGAAAACCTAAGTAATTATATCGATTGCTGCAACAAAATGGACATGCAGTAAAACGCCTTCCCCCTTACCGCTGTCAGTTTAGCGTTATTGAATTAATTTGGGCTAACTTACCACAATAAACAAATAGGTGAAGAAGGTTATGGTGATGATTAAATATTGCATATGTGGGAACATTCTTTAAGTAAGTGTGATGCAAATGCATGGAAAAAATGTATTGAACGCACTGAAAAAGTTATTAATGAATGGAGTGGACGAGCAATGTTATTGAAAGGGACAGGACCAGAAATTACAATAGAAGTTGGTAATGATTCTAAAAGTGACACAAGTGGGGACGAATTACAATAAATACATTTTAGTTTATTTTCAGATATGCAAATACAGTATAATCCGGTTATAACGACATCGAAGGGACCTTGAAATTTTCGTCGTTATAACCGGAAGTCGTTATAACCGATGAATGCTAATTTTATAAATATTACAACTTTATTTAAACAAATTGTAATATTTAATACACGTACATAGGCGCAAGTCAGAAAGGAAAATACATCCAAGGATCATGTAGTAGTTATAAGTAGGTACATACTTCAGTAGTCACATATACATACATATATGAACCTACAAATATATACTGAAATGTTACTTAATTTACGTAAAAAAATCTGTTATTTTACTCTGTCCGGTACATTTATTTTTGTAATAAATACCTGTCAGTTTAGTGTCTAGTGTACAGCTCAATAGTTTACTATCTTTTAAACCTTCAAAAGTAACGAATTTTTTTATAATAGAAACAGCTTGAAGGGCTTCCGCACATGATGGCACTTGATCATCAACGTCTTCATCGTCATTTTCTTCCAAATCTTCTCTAAGGTCTTCTGACAAGTTTTTTACAATGTCCTCTTCACTTATGTCACCACAAGTTTCTAAATTATGATCGACATTCACTAATTCTAGTGCAATTGTCGTTATAACCGGAGGAAAAAAAGTATTGTCCAGCAAGTTTTGGTCGCTATTGCCGGATTCGTCGTTACAAGCGAAGTTGTTATATCCGACTTTTTTTACCCTACTGTATATGGGTTTCCAAACAAACTGGATCAATTCCGTCGTTATATCCGGCTTGTCGCTACAAGCGGAGTCGCTATAAACGACTTTGACTGTACATTCGTTGGCTCTGAGCCACCAAACTAAAGTCCCGTAGTACAACATCGGTCTGACTATTGCCGTATAGAATAGATCCAGAGGGCAATCTTGGGTTTTAAACCGCAAGACCTTCCCACCACCCTACGACATTGCCAAAGTGCCGAGGTTGGTTTTTCCATTTTATCATCTACATGCTTAGTCGTCAGTCCAATACAACTCCCAAGTATTTGACTTCGTCTAAAAGTTGAAGCGATGTTTTAAATATTTTTGGCCTCTGTAGTGTGCCAATTTTCCTTCTCCTAGTGATCATGATTAGTTTCGTCTTCTCTCTATTTTCGGACAGGGTATGCTTGCTACACGATTCCTCGACTATTGTTATTACAGCTTGCATTATTTTACGTAATGCATCTACGTATTTTCCTGTTAGCAAAATGGTTAGATCATCTGTGTATCCAATTGTATGGTAGCCAAGATCATTGAGGCGACGTATCAGGCTGTCAATGACAGTGTTCCACAGTACAGGACAAAATACAGGACATCCCCTGTCTACAACAACTTCGATCTCAATGCCACCTACAATAATCAATACTTCCCTCTTACTCAACATACCAGTCACCCAGCTACTCAGGGTGGGGTTCACGTCGTACTGCTGTAAGGCTAATCCTATGCTTTTGAAGGTCGTTTTATAGAACGTTCCTTCAACATCCAAGAACATCCTTAAGGTGGAGAATTTGTTCTCACTCTATACGGTTTACAAGTGTGTGTAAGACCGTATCCGTGGATCTTCCTGGGATATCGGCATATTGGTTCGGATGTAGAGATTGTTTGTTTAAAGGGATCTCCAGAATGTCTTTTTCGCTTAGTCTTTCTAGCGTTTTCAGCAAGAATGATGTTAAGCTAACTGGTCTATAGGATTTAGCCAAAATGTAATCTTGTCGTCCTGGCTTAAGTATAAATGTAACTTTTGCGTTTTGTCATGCAGCCAGTATGTAGCTGAAAGCCACACACTCCCGAAGCATTGGCACCAAGACAGGGCGTAATTTGCTCATTTCCGTCTGCAAGAGGGAAGGATAGATACCGTCCACCCCCAGAAATGGGGAAATGCTGTCAACTGCCTACTCCATTCTGGCCTGCGTGACTACCTTTGCCACCAGCGACCGGTCCTTCGGGGAAAGTTGCGTACCGGCCACATCCCTTTTGGCATGATAAGTAATTTTTGTGCTATCTGGAAACATAGTCTACAGCAAAAGTTCTACAGGTGGCTGTAAAAGTACCATCTTCTTTCTTTAGGAAACCTGATTGATGTGTTTCTCGTTTCTTCTTTCTTAATTCTGTGTTAAACTATTTCCGGTCCTCTTAATAGGCTCCCCAGTCTTCAGTTTTCTTAGTATTTTTTTGTTCCATTGAAAAGTTTTCTTAATCCCGATTGAAGGAGGCTGAGCCTTTGGTTCCACTATGGTGTACCTTTGCCCAGGGCTTTCTCCTTTAGGGGGCAACATTAGACAGTCATTGATAATAATGGTCAAAGTCTTCTCTATGTCTTCTGTCGATTTATATTCTATAGATATCAACTGTACGGAAATCCCCAGTTGGTCTTCCAGTTCTTCACTGTATAAAACCCGGTCCGTCAGCCTAAGGTTCCTGTACGTCTATGTCTCTATGTCTATACATTTTAACATATACATAATCCATTTATGGTCTGACATTAACCCCTCTTTACAGACGTGGCATTCTATTATATATTGTGAGATAACCCATGTAGCCAGTG